TAAAAAAAAAATTCTTTCTCTGAATCATTCCTTAAGTGTAGACACCCTTGCTCAACCCATTGCTAGAAAACTGCATGAACCTGGCTGAAAGGGACTTATTTTCAGCCCTCCTTTACTGTAGACTTTTTTCTCTAAAAACAAAGACTTGCCATTTCTTTCTTTCTTTTCTTTTTCTTTCTTTTTTTATGATCAGTCTTGGCTTGAAATCTACTTTGTCTGCAAATAGAATAGCTACCCTGCTTTTTTTTTCAGGTTCCTGTTGCATGAAGTATTGTTTTCATTTTTGACTTTTAGTCTATGAGTTTCTTTTAGAGTTAAATGTATTTCTTGGGTTCAGTATATTGTTGAGTCTTTTTTCTTTTCTTTTTCTTTCTTTCCTTTTTTCTAAGTGTATTTGGTTGTTATAGGGTCTCGCTATGCAGCTTGGACTCACAGTGATCCTCCTGTTTTGAGCCTCCCCAGCGTTGGGATTACAGGCATGTGCCCCTATTATTGGACTCTGTGGCCAGTTTAGCCCACCCTGGAGGTGGGGCTGGTATGGCATGTGGTACCAGGGATCAAACTGTGATCCCTGCACTTGCCTAAGCTTGCCTGAGCAGGTACTTCAGTCCACTGCCCAGATTTGTTTCTTTTTCTAACAGCTTTTAGTATTAAATTCTTGTGTTAAATTTGTGCAATCTTGACTAGTACATGCCTCACTTATCTGTATGTCAAAGTTTTCTTCCATGCTTGGGAAGTTTGCTATTATTATTTTTGTGAACACGTTTTTTTTGTTGTTGTTGTTTATTTGTTTTTCAGAAAGGGTCTATGTCCTCCAGGCTGGCTTTAAACTCACGGTTTAACTCACGCTGGCCCTAAACTCATGGTGACCTCCTGCCTCAGCCTCCTGAGTGCTGGGATTACATGCATGTGCCATCATGTGAACAGGTTCTGATTTTTCATTAATTTTAATTATTCGTAAGTTATTCTTCTTTGCATTGTCTAGCAATGGTTGGATTAATTTATCAAGGCCCCTTGCTGTTTTTAAGAAGTCTTCCATTTGAAAATTAGTAACTGCAACCATCTTCTATATCTGATATTCCATCTTCATGTTGGCTGATTCTGTTGCGTGTGCTTTCAGTATAATTTTTTATCTCTGGATATCTGTTTTATGGAATCCAATTCTTTCCTATGTTAAATGTTCATGGTTCCTATCACTGTCCTATGCTCCTGTATATTTTATCTGTGTCTCCTAGAGATTCATTAACTATGTCCTTCATTATACTCATCATTTCTTCAATTATCTGTGCAATTACTTTTTTTTCCCCAGAGACTCATTTATCTGCGTTGCTACTTCCAGTGCTACCATTTTAGAAACTTTAGCTGGGCTGCTTTTGATTTCTTCTACCTCAGTGCCCCCAGATTTGCCTTGGGTGAGCTGGGGGTCTGAGGTTGCAGCTTGCTTCCATGGTTTCTCATTTTCTATTTTGTTGTTGTTATTTGTTTTCTCCACTGATGGTTGTAAACTGTTATGGTAGGTAGCTTTATTACCAGTGGTGAATCATTTCTTTGGGAAATGACTACTTTTCAGAGATGTATTTTAGTTGTAGCTGGCTCTTGGCCTTGAGTCTGCCTCAGGGTTCTGCCTCTTCTGTTTATTAGAGGTGAGAGGTTGCACCCCCTCTTTGGCCTAGTACCTGGTTCTTCATACTGGACTATAGTATTGTTTGTGTCCCCCAGATAATCTAGGTATTGATATACAAGGAAGATCAATTGATCACAGCAACTGTGTCAACTTGGCTAGAGTAATACAATCTATAATAACAATGGCATCAAACTCAGACTTGAAAATGACAAACTGTGATAACTAATAATTTGCCACTTCTAACTATAAGATTTATAGTGGGGGGGAAGATTTATAGTATACAATAAAATCTAAGACAAATTACAAAATTATATATAGTAAATAACTCATTGAATAGGGCAGTTTTGCCCTAACGGGAGAAAATTAAAATGGAAAAGAGGGGAAAACAGAGGAATAAAAGAATAAAAGATTAAAAGCAAGGCTAAAGGACAGAGGATGATTACCCAAACTTTTGGGAACTGGTGAAAAGACAGGAGGGAAGGAAAGAATGAGAAAACAAAAACAGGGACAAAACAAAATTCTACAAACAGGGCCATGGAGATAGCTCAGTGGCTTATGTGCCTGCTTGGCAAGTGCAAGGTCCTGAGTTTAATCAGCAGTACCAAAGAAGAAAGAACAAACGAACAAACGAACGAATGAACAAAAGAAAGAAAGAAGATTCTCACAATGAAACAAAGCGGGGGAAAAAAACAAGCACAAACAAAAGGAAAAAAGAAATTTCTCTCTGATTTCAAGCCTGTGGTTATCTTCTGGGAGCTATAGTTTTGTGGCAGTGTCCATTTTAGGACATGACTCTGCTCTTGATGGTAGACAAAGGTGGCAATCAGAGCCCAGATCTGTGCCGTATAATCCCAGCAAGCCTAAAGTAGGATCAGGATGGTTACTGGATAATCCCAGCAAACTGGGCTATAGGCTTAGGGTATGGTGTTAGTGCTGGGACTTTCAAATCCACAGAGGTCTAGGCTAAAACTAACATCTAGTCATGGGTTTGAGGCCTGAGTCATTTTGCATATAGCACACTGAATGTCTCTTGCCAGCCTTCCCATGGCTCCCTGACCCTGGACATCCCCTGTGATTGTCCCTCACCCAGTCACTGTGGTAGTTTAACTCTGGGACCCCCGAGATGAAGCCAACGTGAAGCTGTTCTGCGTCCTGTGTTCACTTGGCCTCTCGCTAAAATGGCATCTGACAAATATGCCTTCCAGGGAACATGGCGTTGCTTGGGCTAGAGTCACTCACCAGCTGTTGCACCACGCAGCAAACACTACTCCATTCCACTAGTGTGTTTCTCCCTGTAGGACTCTGGAGTCACTTGCTTTTACTGTGTCTCTTTAGATTGATCTTTCTTATACCTCTGGCCAGGAGTTGGGGGAAGAGTACAGATTGCCCCTTCCTTTTTCTGCACTGTAGTCTGCCTCTTCAATGTCTTTGTAGGCTCCAATTTTTCCTTCGCTCCTTCCTGGGTCTCAGAGATCTGCCTCTTTTTTTCTTTCTTTCCCCAGGTTATTATTTCTTTCTTTTTTTGTGTAAAATACTTATTTTATTGAGTTTTTTTTTTATTTGATACATCTCTCCACCATATTACAATTGAGCCATTAAGCTTGTAGCTTCATCAACATTAACTGGTTCCCTCCCAAGTGCTGGGATTACAGGTGTGTGCCACCATGCCTAGTCTCAGTTGCCATCTCAGCACGCCTCAGGGAAGGGCTGGCATGGCATGCCAAGGATCGAACTCCTGGCCACTGTGCCCCTGCATCTGCCTAAGCAGGTGCTTTAATCTGCTGAGCTATTTGCCCGGTCCCCAGGGTGCAATTTCTTTTCACCTTACCTGCTGCCACAGGAAAGACCCCAGTCAGCTCCTTAGACATTTCTAAGCATCCCCCTCAAACTCCACCCCTAACAAAAGGCCATAAAAGCCCCAGCTTTCTTTATCTCAGGCCTGAGGATCTGTCTGCCCTGTCTGCCCTCCATCCTCTCTGTGTCTTTGGAGTTAATAAAGGCTTTTTAAAAACAAAATTTAAAAAAAAATTAACTGGTTCATTTTCATGATGCGGTTGATTAATCAGCTCTTTCTTACGAGGTTCAAGAGTCAGCCTTTTTGAGAAGTGTGCAAGTTCCTTCTGAATGTTTATAAAAGCTTTATTCACTCTGCGCACT